AGGCAGCCAAATACGTCATGATAAACGAACGGCCGTACCGAAGATCTTACACGCTCCCCTACCTGCGCTGCTTGCGACCTTCCGAAGCCGAGCTCGTGCTCCGCGACACTCATGAGGGCCTGTGCGGCGGACACTTGGGGGGCAAGGCCCTCGCCCAAAAAGCGCTACGACAGGGGTACTACTAGCCAACAATGAAAGCAGATGCGATCGAGCTCGTCAGAAAGTGTGACAAGTGCCAAAAGCACGCCAATATCCACCATCAACCTACTGCCAATCTGAAGTATCTCACTAGCCCGTGGCCTTTTGCACTGTGGGGGATCGATATACTCGGACCGTCTTCACCAACCTCGACCTGCTTGATGAAGTAGAGGACCTCACATATATTAGGACCGTGGCTTACCAGCAGAGAGTAGCTCGGTACTATAACACCAGGGTCTAGAAGCGGAACCTCTGCATCGGCGACCTGGTCCTTCACAAAGTTATGGTGCCTGAGCCCGGTGTTGGTAAGCTCAGGCCAAATTGGGAAGGACCCTCTCAAGTAAAGTGAGTGCTCGGGGAAGGAACATACGAGCTTGAAACCCTAGAAGGGAAACAAGTACCTCGGGCATGGAATATTGTTAACTTAAGGCAATATTACTTATAACTACTGAGTAGACCACGAGCCACTCCCAGAGCCTAAGGGCCAAAATGCCGAGCTAACGTAGACCTCGACACGATAAGACCCAGTCACCTCTATGGCATGGGCGAACTACTAAGTAGACCACGAGTCACTCCTAGAGCCTAAGAGCCAAAATGCCGAGCTAACGTAGACCTCGGCGCAATAGGACCCAGTCGCCTCAATGGCATGGGTGAACTCCAAGAGTGGACTATGAGTCACTCCCTCAACCTAAGGGCAAAAACGCCGAGCTAACTAAGATCTCGACACTGTGAAAGACCTAACCGTTTCATCGGCAATGGCTAAGTATTAATACCAAAGGCATAGGCAGCTCGGGCATGAGCCCTATGAAGTGTAGATCACCTCAGTATACTAGTTGAACTTGATAAGGGACAACTCGGGCTCACTATGACAACCACCTCGGGGTATATCATAAAAACTACCTCAAGTATGGAGGATCAGCTCGGGGTAACAACTACCAAAAGATCCTACTTCATACGTATAGCTCTATCAGCTCGAATGATAAAATCGCTTCGGCAGAAAGTAAGGAGTACACATTGCTTAGCAGAAAAAGATAAGACATTTCATTACTAATTTCTATAAACAAAAAACCGGGCTTAACAGCCCGGGAAAAGTTCAACAGAAAATAAATAAAAAGTAGGGCCCAACCGCCCAAGAGAGTTCATAAAAAAAAAGAGAGATATTTAAAACCAGGTTCTAACACCCGGGAACCACCAGAATCCGTTCAGAAAAAGAAAACAGAAGAGCAGCAATCGGCCTCAGGGATCCACCGCCTCCACATCCTCCGGAGAGTCAGGCTCCTCCTCCTCCGCTAAGTCCGTCATCTCTGGATCCAGACCCTTCATTGTTATTCCGTCAAGGTTGAGCCTGGAGAACTTCTTCCGGACCAGCCAGCGGCAGAGTTTAAATCCAGAACGGTAGGAGCTCGAGCCGTACTCCACCTGGAGGTCGTGGTACTCCTGGGAGTCCTTGAAGTCCCACACTGCCTTAGCTCGCTCAGCCTCCACCATGGTGTCGAAGTTCCAAGTCTGATCCTGAAGCGTGGACTCCAAGTCCCGAACTTGCTGGCGAAGAAGCTCCCTCTCCGCTGCCACCCTCGACGACTCCTCCCGATAGCGAGCGCTCTCCTCAGATAGTCGGGCGATTTGTGCCTCCTAGTCTCAGACGAGCAGTTCTTGGGCCTCGCTCCCCTTTCGAGCCTAAAGGACTTCACCTCGGGCCCGGTCGAGCTCGCCCTGGAGCTTCTGCACAGTTGACCTCTGAGCAAGAGCATCACCGGAGTGAATGTTGGTCTGGAGGGCCATGGTGTGGATGGCGGAGTTCACCTGCCAACAAAAGGCCGAGGTCAAAAAAAAAAAGAAAAAAGAAGAAGGGAAAAGAAGAAAAAAGTAGTCACTTACCACCATGCAGTGAGCGGAGGCTAGCCTGGCGAGTTGCTTGGGATCCATCCCTCCCCAACTGGCGACCTCCTCGTGGGAGACCGCCTTTCGGCTCCTTCATGAAGCCACAGTGAAGTCAATGACGCTTTCCCACCCCCCGGTAGGAAACCGCGGGAAAGCAAAAGGGTGGGACTGCTCAGGCGGAGGGAATTGCCCTTGTGCCGGGAGCTCAGGCTCTTCTGCGCCACCTTCCGTGGCCACTCCCTCTAACGGGACCAGTGGGACCTCAGGCGGTGGAGAAACGAAGGCTGGATCAGCAGCCTCGAACTCAGCACTCCTAGAAGTGGAAGCTCGGTCAGGGCGTGATCTCTTCGCCCTACACTTCTGGTTGCTGGACAGAAGGCGGCGTGCGTCTACACCAGACATGATGGCTGCCAAAAATCATAAGGCATTAGTCCAGTAAAAAAAAAATTTACAAGGCACTACGTGACCTAAAAGGCAACCTACCAGGGCTCAGGCCAACCAATGGAAGCCAACCGCTGCCCAGGATTGTAGCGTTTCCCGAACTTTGGAATCCAAGTCAACACCTGAATCCTAGATGGCGGCCCTCCAGTGAGTTGGGAAGGGCCACCCTTCGGGGTTGTGAACTACAAAATAGTCTCGCTTCCAGGGCGGGATCCTGTTCGGCAGCTCGTGCAAGAGCTTGAAGCCGGGACGGAACGCCTTTTCTGGAGGCGCTCCAGGGGAAGCATTTTTAATAGAAAGAATGGTGGAGAAGATGTCAAGGTTAAGGGGAAGACAATACTCATAAAATAAAGAGATAGTCCCAACTACATTTCAGATCGAGTTGGAGTGAAGCTGGTCAATAGTAACATTGAAGTGGTTCAAAACCTCCACTATCAGAGGATGCAGAGGAAGACGAAGGCCAGCGATGAGCTGTTTCTGGAAGATCACGATCTCGTCGGGACCATGCTCCCAAGGATAGTCACCGGAAGGGAGACCATAGATGAGGTCTCTACGAAGGTTAAACTGAAGAACCAAGTTCCTGAGTTTCTCCATCGACATGGAGGAAGGACCGAAGCTGTCCGGCTCCCTACCTCGGGAGGTGGAAGCTGTCTCGCCGGAGGCCTCGCGAGCCTCCAGAGCCTGCCCCCAAGCTCCCCTTGAGCTCAAGGGGGCGTCATCTTGGTCACCGCCCCGGGGAAAGTTATTGTACGAGTACCCAGACATATTGACAGAGTGATAAGACTCACCAGGGAAAGCTGAACCGGAAAGTTGGTGTGAACGGAAGGAGAGCTCGAGTAGCTAGACGAAGACGCGACCTCAAAATCCGAAAGCATGGCAAGTTAGCGTAAAGGAAATGAGACCTGGGGCCCTCCTATTTGTAGCCACTATGCCATCAAATCGACGGCTCAGATTAAGGCGGATTTGACGGTTCGCAATCAAGCTGACCGTACGTCTTCTGAAACCGAAATGTGACTGGCTGCACGACTTCCGGAATTGAGAGCCGTTTTGGCACATTTTTTGGCATTCGAAAAGTCCAGAAATCCCTTGACTTCCGTGCATGTATTTAATGAAATCAGTCAATCAAGTTTGAATTTTGGGTCAAATCCACCCGTCACACTCCATGAACTCCTCGCGCTAGAGTAGAATCCTTAGCTTGAGGAGTGGGGGGCAATTGATGGAGGGTGTTTTTACCCGACCTCCTGAGAAGGTGACACGTGGATGTGACTCAACACAAGTGACAACTCAGCATAATAGCCTGGTTGCGACTAAGTGATGAGTTCGCAAGACAGCTCGCTACATTACAGCTCGCCACAGGATGAGCTCGCTATAGCGCGAGCTCGAGGACCCCTGATGTACTGAAAGGGAATACTCCAAGACAAGTCTATCCCAACTCGCGAGCTAAGATAACCAGCTCACTCCAATACCTAGGCAGGAGAACTGCCCCAAAGGCAACCTCAGGCGGAATCACCTCGAAGTATTTCTAGGAACTCGCTACAAGGCAGTTCGTAACAGGATAGCTCGCTACAAGACAGCTCGCTACGGGATAGCTCGCTACTAAGCGACGCGACGTTTTCAGGAAGCTTCTATCCGACAAGACCATACCCGTTAGACTGCATTATGTCTCCTGATTGACGGCACAGTCCCTGCCAACCCGGCAGACTGCACCCACGTCTCTCGACAGGTGGTGGCGTGTTTGTCTTTTATGGGACGTGTCATTCATTCGATTGGGTAGTACTTTGCAACGGTTACCTGCACAGCCCTGGCAAATAATGGCTGCGACAAAGGTCCAGTGGCGGTTACGCCCGATTTGACAAGAACGCCCATATTTAAGAGCCCCATGATCGAAGGGGAAAAGGTATCTTGAGTTAATCTCGAACTTTCATTGATCTAGCGCTACCTGCACTCTTAGCTCTCTTTGCATTCCTTACTGCTCTCTCAAGTGTTCTAACTTAAGCATCGGAGTATTCCCATCGGGCAAGTCCCCTGAGAATCCTTCACCGTCTTCTTCTCAGGTACTATCCGTCGCCAAATAGGAGCCAGTCGATTGCTAGTTAGGAGTGCCCGGATTGCGCTGCATCAGATTCCAATTCCGAATCAATTTTTAAAACATTGCTGAACAATTATTGCATTCTCGTTACATCATTGGATAAGCTTAGGAATGGTAAGAGGGCGAGGGATGAGTTTTGCATTCTCATCCTCGACCCCGGACTCAAATGTCCGGCCCCAAACCCTATCAGGGCTAGAAATCCCAACCCCATTCCCAAATTTTCCCCGTCCCAACCCGGTTATTCTTACTTGAATACTTATATGTTACGTCCGTTAGGGCTGGGGTCGGGGCGAGGTAGAACCCCAAGGGACGGGTTAAATTGTCATCTCTAGTTAAGCAGCTTGACCAATTAGAAAATTCCATGTCATATATCAAGCGTGTTAACCCCGCAACCATTCCAAATCCCAAATCTCTCTGTATGGCTGGCGAAGCCGCCCATTCGAATCCTTCATTCCTTCCATTTGACGGAGCGGGCTTCTCTCTCTCCTCAACCAAGGAAAATCTGCCACTCTGTGATTGTTCGCTCCTTTTGTTGGTAGAGTGACAGTTTGCCTCGGTTGGATCGAATCACCTCGTTTTTTCTGCAATGGTGAAAACAAGCTGACGGTTTCTTCATCACGCTTAATCTAAAACTCCTGATAGCCCTTAATTCCCCTGGTAGGCTGGTAGCTTGTCTTCCTTCAGTTACTGTCTTAGTTTTTGTCGCTCTCTTTCTAGGGTTTGATCGTCATGATTCTTGCGGAACTACTTGTGCTGTGTAGCGATGGGCCCAAATGATTCTTTCCTGTTATGGCTGAAAACGAAATTTCCGGTTAATCCACAGAATTCATCATTGATATGCATAATTCTTCATTTGTTATGTGATATGGTTGCAGGGAGGAAGTATTCGTTATGTTTTCTTTTTAGCTCTCCAGTTGGCGATGGAGGGAATTGGATGGATATTCGAATTAGTGATCTCAATCAATCATACCACATGGCGCCTCTGCATAGCTGTGCTGGTGAATGTTTGGAGTTACCCTCAATCCTATGTCCATAAATTTTTAACTGCATCACAGAAATCAAGCCTTATCGAAGGATTTCATGCCTCCGCTACTCAATTAATGCAATAGGAAATTTGAGTAACACAATGGAAGGTGAAGTTGCAACTGGTCATACATGTTGTTCTACCAAAAGCCTTCCGGACTTTGGTTTCTAGCTGAAACACCATGGGGTTAAGTTCCGCCTATCTAATCAGTGAAAGCATCTATCTGCATGTTTAACATGTTTATTAAAGGATGGAGTAACCGTGGATGTGCTATATGAGCTAAATTTTTTAATAGCTTGAGGGTACTGTAAAGTTCAGTGAATACGTTTTCTAGTAATTAAAGCTGGACTTGCAGAGTATTAGAAATTTAGAGTTCCTAAAGATAACCATTTCCTCTGGTGCACTAGGCCTTAGAGTGAAATCTAGTCCCAAATAATATTTGACCGGAAAGGATTAAGATAAGCCATTTTAGAAGGGATTGTATCTTGGTATTTAATGCTGTCTAAGAAGAAAGAATCAGTTTACATATCTCTTGTTTCCAAGTATATATCCTGTAAGGCGGAGAGAGGATAAACTTTTATTTATTTATTTATGATAATACTATTACAACAATTTTCTTTGATAAGCAATTTATTAGGAAAGCAAGAATCTAATGATATGCTGTCTTGTTATTTTCGGTATGATGTTGCGGATGTTGATGAGCTTGTACTGGTTGTGATGGGTTCTGGACTTTGGCATTAGGAGTTAAGACAATGTTTGTTTTCTCCAGGGATCTAAGGAGATGCCCGGATGCAGCATTCTTTCCCCTTTATATTTATTGTTGATACCATATTTGGCCCAATTTTGATAAAAAAAAGTAATGTTAAAAAATCCATAGGCACTTCAGCCAGGCTAATCATTGTCCCTATTTGCTGTGGGGCCAAGTTAGAATCTTCCTTGCTTATGGGCTTCAGAATATTTTTGTTGATATTGTCAAGTAGAAGCTATCTAAATTGGATCTTTCCTTGCATTTTCTCTTTTCCTTGATAAGGTTTGAGATTGAGTAGAAATACCCTATGACAGGTTTTTCTGCATTTCGGGTTTTTCTTCCTTATGCATATACAAACTGCATTGAAATTGTCATGTAATAGATTTTTAAAGTCAGCTATTTGATTGTCTTAGAATGCAGATGTACTATAAAAGAGGCCTTCGTGATGAGATATGAATGAAATTTTCTTTGGATTTTCTGATGTTGATGACTTGATGGTACATGCCATAATAACCTGATTATTTAACTCTACAGATAGGATCATGATTTTGGGTTCTGCTTATGTATTTGAAACTAAAAAAGGACTGGTTGTTTGTTGTTGTCTAGGATTAATATTTCTGTCTATTCTGCATGGATGTCAATGATCTTAACAAAGTTTGGGAAATTAAACCTCTTAAAAAGGTAGGTGAAGATGAAGCAAAGAAGATTCTTGAGAATGTAGCTAAACAGGTACAACCAATTATGCGCAAACATAGATGGAAAGTGAAGCTCCTTTCTGAGTTCTGGTACTATTTTTTATCTTTTCATATACTATTTCTATAAAGTTTCCATTTTTTTTTATGCAGTACTCTTGTTTACATGGAAAGTTCTGAAAATGCAGTCCCACAAATCCATCTCTTCTAGGACTAAACATCGGAGGAGGTGCAGAGATTAAACTCAGACTGCGAAGGCCAGATAGAGAGTGGGATTTCTTCCCTTACAATCAGATTCTTGATACCATGTTGCATGAGCTCTGTCACAATGAGCATGGTCCTCACAATACTGAGTTCTACAAGCTATTAGATGAAATCAGAAAGGTCACTGCCTTGTGTTTCCCTTGCGTTATCCAAGATATTTATTGGAACTAGCTTTTTTTTTCAGTTGAAAGTGTAGATTGTAGATTTCCAACTTTGCTTAGAAACGTCATGATTTGTCTCAGCCATTAATTGATGTGCTGGTCCCAGCTATCAGCCATTAATTGATATAAACTTCAATAAATGTTTTGATTTTTGTAAATTGAAGCTTCCATATCCACTTGCTACCTTTTAAAAAAAATTGTTATTTCTTGATGACAAAGTAGATTAATTATCTCTCCATATATTATTGATTGCCCCATGGTAACAAATTAACATTTGACCATGTTGAGGCCATCTTCCTCCCTAATCAGGTGAATAAATTTAAGGAATTCTTATGTTCTTACTTATAAAAAAAAATCTTGTGTTCTTGTTCCATGTTCTCTCAATTAGAAATGTGCATAAATAACAGACTTATTCTGAGTATCCTCTTGAGATTCCAAGTAACCGAAGCCAACTAGAGAGGCCCATTCTTACTAAATTTTGTGGGCTCAAATAAAAAATAATCACTTATAGATAGTAGAAGCACAACCAAAGCACAACCTTATTGATTGTTTTATATTAATTTCACCTCATTTATTGGTACTTTTCTGCAGGAATGTGAGGAGCTACTGGCCAAAGGAATTACTGGCTCTGGTCAGGGATTTGATCTTCCTGGCAGACGTTTGGGTGGTTTTACCCACCAACCACCTTTGTTGTCTCTCCGCCACGCTGCACTGGCTGCAGCAGAAAAAAGAGCACGTCATGGAGCTTTATTGCCATCAGGACCTAAGCGCCTGGGTGGTGATGGTGATATTATGGTTGCACTTAGTCCGATACAAGCTGCTGCAATGGCTGCAGAAAGGAGATTGCATGATGACTTGTGGTGTGGTTCCAAATCTTTTGAAGAAAGGCATGGTGTCATGCTGGGGAAGATTGGATCATCTAGGGGATCATCTGAAAGCTCAAAAGATGCTTCCATCCTAAGTGACAATCCAATCCAAACTTCAACTTCTGCACCTATGCAAAATAACAGAATGACAGACAACATAAAGGATGGAGAAACTTGGGAGTGTACTACATGCACACTAATCAACCAGGTAAATCTACTTACCCTATTTGAGATTATTGCTATCTACAAGGTCATTATCTAAGCACTTGTTTTACTAATCAGAAATAGGATATTCCTTATACATGCTCAACATGGATGGCCTGTTTTTCTGAGAAATATGTTTGACCCTGCAATGCATTTGATAGAAAATGTTTGGATTTCTCAAACACCCAAATTTCCCTTGTGAGATGACTTTAATCTTATGATTTCATTTTGTTGCAGAAAAACCCAAGAAAACAGATTCGAATGGCACCCAAACTAAAAGTAAAAGTAGAGATAAAGAGAAACAAGCACAAAAACACACCGATTTACATGGTGGCTTATAGCCTACGTCCACGGGCGAAGGAGGAACAGAAATCCACTATGGAGTTGTCAATGGAGAAGAAATACAGAGTTGTGTCATCACAGAAAAAACCCTAAGCCCCAAATACACCCAAAGTCTCACCCTTCTCTCACAAGACAAAAGACTATTTACAAGAGAGAAACCCCCCAAAATACATAACTTTTCATATTCAGTTCGGACCTAGCGGCCCAAGCCCTATGCATCCACCACAAACCACTATGAAATTTTGCCTTCGGGTTTTTCTCAAATTAATTCGGAGTGGATTCATGAAGTGGGTTGCCACAAAGAATTCAAGGCACAAACATAAACACATTTGATATTAACAGCATGAGCAGATTTATATTCTCTCTTATACATGCATGTTTTGGATTGTCGTGTTCTGTCGGATGGGGGAATATTTACCATTGTTGGGATTTTTTGTATTATTGATTATCCAAGATTTGGTAAATGAAATGAATCTGCTAGTAAATTTCATAATATTTTCTTTATGGATAAATGTTAAGTAAAGGGTCAGCATATTTTATTTTTGAAGTCAAAATCTCCCTGATCTAGTAATCACAAGTTGATCTGGAAAACATGTCTTATCCAGTGAAAATTTTCTTTAAATTCTAGTTCCAGTAGGACCAATACCGTTATACCTTGATGGGCATGGTATCTTTTTACTACTTCCCTCTTGAACTTGTATGATTTACTACTTCTACTGAGTGTTTTTGCATGACCAGGACATTGTGTGTTTTTTGCAGCCACTTTCTCTAATGTGTGAAGCTTGTGGTACCCAAAAGCGAAAAGATATTGAAATGAAGTTCAAAGTTTGGTCTTGCAAATTTTGTACCTTAGAAAACAGTGTTAAGTTGGATAGATGCTCAGCTTGTGGGCAGTGGAGATACTCATATGGGCCACCAATCTCTACTAGGGGACCCAATCTTGGCACTTGAGAGTTGAAAAAATAGGAACTGTAGCAATAGCATCACACATAGTTGTAAACACCTCATCACAAAAGAACGTTCCTTGTCAAAGGCCCTTTTAGTAAGATATTATTTTCATCTTTTATGAAGCTATATGGGTAATAACTATATACCCTTTCAGATATACTTGTTTACCTGCTACCACAATTCCACATATGTTACATTATCTGTACCTTGAAAAACCATTACAGATCGACCTATATCAACTTATCTCTGTTGATACTGTAAACCTTGATTACATTGCTTTGTTAGTGAATTCCAAAGAGAGTGTTGTTACCTAGGCATCATATATCAACACTGAATTGGAATTCAAGGGATGCGTGGGGGTAGGGTTGGCAGTTGGTAGTGACTTATGCTTTCCGAATCAAGTGATTCTTGTGATGGATACTTGGAAAAATAATGAGTTTGCCATTCATATTCAGATGGGACTGTCATCTGTGATCCCCAAATCTGCATACCTGATGTAATTGTTAAACTGAGATGTATTCAGTATTTATACTCAGGAAATTTAATTGCTTTCTCACCCTATATATATATATATATATAAATAACCTAAAAGCAAAAGGTTGTAGAAGTGAGCGTGTGATCGCTTCCTTTTAACCATTGGACAGTATGCTTCTAGTACCATTGCTCCATTTTAACCATTCACTGATTGAGGGGTTGAGATACTAAGGCTCCATTTGGTTTGTGGGATGGGATGAGAAATAGAGGGATGGGATGAGAAAAATGTGGGATGTCAAATCCCAAAATCATGGAATCAGGGTTGCGCCAAAACAGTGTGACCCCGGTGGAAAAACTTGAGAAACCACTGTTACCATTGACGACGAACAAAGGGATGGACTGAGAAAAACGAACCAGTGACAACAAACAGAGGAGGGAGAGAACTAGTGCCTTCCCTGTTACCATTGAACTGGTAAGGAACCATTGTTATTGGCCTTCTTTTTCACTAGATACTAGCAATGAATCAATGTGAGGGGCAGCGGCGATCTACTACCATTGAACAGAAGAGGCGGCGGCAGAGGCGATCTTCACTAGATACTGTCTCTCCCTCCATCTTCCTCTTCTTTCTTCTCCCTCACCTTCTTCTTCTTCTTATTCTTCCCATCTTCACCCTCACCTTCTTCTTTTGCGAGGGGTAGTGGCGATCTTCACCAAATACTGTCTCTCCCTCTATCTCCCTCTTCTCTCTTCTCCCTCACCTTCTTCTTCTTCTTCCTATTCTTCCCGTCTTCCTCCATTTCTTTGATCGTCGTTGCAACTCTCGTTAGCAGCAATCTGCTTTCTCAACATTCCTATCTCTCTCTCATTCCCTCTCTCTCTTTGATCGCCGCTGCAGTCATGGAGCTCTCTTCTTCATCTTACATGAATACGATGAAGAACCAACTCGTGATAATGCTTTTCCTATTATTTTCCCACATATAAAACCAAACAATGGAAAGGTAAGGACTTACTTGGTTCGTCTCCTCAATTTCCTCCTCTCCAATCCAACAACCCACTCTAAAACTCCATCCTAAACTTGGAAAGAGAATACCTGGTTTGAACGAGGCCTTTAGTTTTCATAGGGTAATGCTTATCAATTGTCATTTTGGATATATATATATATATATATATATATAAATTGACCCCCACAATTGTGAAAAATAAAATAAAAGTTTCATTACTATATAAAATGTTTTTTAAATTTTAATAGGACGATTGCCCGCACTGATGTATACATAGATCTGACACATTTGAGTTGATTGCCTATATATATATTAAAGGAAGGCTTTCAAGCTACAACTCCCACCATTCAGGCACTTAGTTTTTTCAAATTTAGACACATGGCATTTTTCTAAAAAGTTGTTAAAGCTCACAACCCACTACCACCATTCAGACAAATGGCCTTCTCATTTTCTAGAAAGCTAGACACGTGGAAATTTCTGAGAAATTTGCTAAAGCCCACAACCCACTACTAGGCTGCAGCTCCCCATCACATGGCCTTCTCATTTTTCTAAAAAACTAGACATGTGGCATTTTTCTGAGAAGTTGTTGTTAAAGCCCACAACCCACTACCCACTACCACCATTTTCAATCCATTCCTAAAAAAATACAGAAAATGTAACCACTTTTGCCTACATTCTATCAATCTCAATTAATCATTAACCCTCTATGTACCATAACAAAAGAAAACTATTCATATTCTAATAATTATTAAAAATCTATTTTTGAACTAAATATTTCTTGAAATTTTAATAGTTACTTAAAATATTAATAAATATAAACTTAACAGTATTGATTTCATAATGTAAATTTAACATTATTGAATCCCCGTACTTAGTACGGGGTCATTCACTAGTAATTAATTAAGCGAAATGTGTAGTGGCACCTGGAATGCTAAAACAAACTACTACTCTTTAGGCTGTATTTGGTTGCAATGCATATTTATGTATAGATGCAAAACTATGGTAATACAAATGATTTCAATGCAAATTATGATTTATTTTTATTTTAAAATTTACTGTATTTTGTTTAATTGCAATACAAATGAAGTAAAATAAGACCTGAAATAGAATAAAGGAAAGCCTAAAACAACATTAAACCAGAATTTGCATTATTTTCATTTGCACTCCCAAGCATTTATACTAGTATAAAGAAAATTAATTGCACTTCAACCAAATATAGTCTTAGGCTCAATTTGGAAAGAATATAAATGCAAATATATAAATTACAAATACATACAAAATTTTGTGCTCTACATATTTGTATTGTACTCCTTTCAAACTAAGCACAACCATGAACCTACCCGGCCCACTTCAACATGTCTGGTTTAGTGGTTCGGTTTAACATGTTGAACCCCTAGAGAAGAGCATGTATGCATGTATCGTTCATTATTTCTTAATAACAAATATGTTTAAAATAAAAAAAAAAATAAAACAAAGATATGATTAGTAAAAACAAATATGTTTATAGAAGACTCTACATCATTAATTAACCCTAATATTAATAACAAAGTGAAATTAAATTAATAAAAAAGGTTCAATTTATTAATGTAAGGACATTATAAAAATAAAGATACCTTAATGCTTGAATCGCAGCACATGCTGATGGGCCGTTAATTAGTTGTACCATGTTGACTAGCCTTTGTGGAAGATCTCAACACCATAAATAAATAAATAAATAAAGATAAATATGCTTATATACTTATTAATTAAAAAGCAACTAAGGTAGTGTTTGGAAACACTTAAAAGAACTACTTGTTTAAGACATGGGACCATACATTAAGTGGTTTTTAAATACTTATGGTTGTTTGGTAATAAAGAGGATAAGAAGTACTTATTATTAAAAAAAGTACTTCTTAAAAAAGTGATATGGATGTGGTTTTTTTCAGCACTAGAAGTGTTTCTTCATTCAAATGGGACAAGCCTGTCCCTGTTTTTTCTTTAATGACAAAACTACCCCCACTCGAGTTTATCATCTTTTCTTCCATTCGAAACCCTATAACAATAGGCAACGGTGGCGTTTGATTGCAGGTCCATCGGCGACGTTCCACGATGAGCAAAAGCCAGCTGATGGAGTTGGGTGCATAGTTAATATAGTCGTTTTTACAGGTCCACCACTTTTCCCTTCCTACAGCCGTTCTTACAATGGCCCCTTCTTGTCCAAATATTCTCTGATAGCCTTCTCATCGACAAAGTATCCCTTCTCCAATCTCTTAATGGTGCTCTTCCTTCTTCCACACTCTTGTCCCTACAAATCGCGTCAACTAGGCCTGTAAAGGTTGTTACATTTGGGGAATGACCAGTCTCCAACATCTCAACGCAGATGTCTATGGCGTCCTCCAATCTCTTCCCTTTGTACAATCCCTGAATGAAGACTGTGAAACTGAACACATTCGGTGAAATCCCATTATTCTACATCTTTCTAAAAATCCTCTTGGCATCATCAAGTTTCTGAGCCTTACAGAAGCCCTCAACTACAGCCGTGTAGATTACAACTTCCGGGAACGTACCCTTCTCGCGCATTAACCCAAACAGCTTCATGACTTCTTGGACCAGCCCATCCTTGCAGAGGCCATCAAGCATTGCCACAGCATTCGGGATGAAACCCGTTTCCTTCATTTTCCTAAAAATTTCATTGGCATCTTGTGGTGTCGAATCTAGTTCTGCTTTGATATCGGTTTCTGCAACTTGGGTGGGAGAAGTTTCGTTTGTATTCTCTTTCTTCTCTTCGCAAAGCCTCAATTTTTCGAGGAAACTCTTGTCCAATGGACTCCCTCTCTTCTCTCCCTTCATGGGTCTATTAGGAAACTGCACTGAAGGACTTTGTTGCGACTCCAAAGTCCTTTTGATGTCTGAACCAGAGTCAAATTTGCGGGCAAAAGTATCACCGTTGAACCTACAGTCTCTTTTTCCCTCTCTCCTGGATCCAAAATGAGTTTGCCGTATTTGGTCGAGTTTTCTCATTTTCTCATAATCTTCATCGTCTCTAAGCTTGAATTTTCCATTGAAATGATATTCAGATGGCTCTCGTCGTTTCTCTCCTTGGGGCGGGGGGGTTCTGATAAGTTATGTTCCTTCTTTCTTCATCTTTTCCATCTTCACCATCGAGTTTACTGAGGAAGGGATCCTGTGATGCATTGCTTTTCATTTCTCCTCTTATGGGTCTATCCTGGATCAAGCTAAAATAGTTCACTATAGGAAATGTTGAAACCGTTTCAGAACGTTGTGAGAGAGATTTGAAAAGATTTGAGAAACGGAGTTTGGAAGCCATGAATGAGTTTCCTTCTTTCTCTCTTCTGGTTCAAACTTCAGAGGGCTCAGGACAGACTCGAAGGGGCTAGGGTAAGGGTTTTAGCTGGGGATAAACCAGATGCTACAATATCAAATGGACTAGCTGGGTATAAAGCTAGAAGACAACGGAAGGAGAGGGAGTCAAGAGAGACTCGGGAGGCAGAAATGGGAATCCGAGAATTTTGTGAAGGTTGTTAATTGGAGGAGTCTTTTTGTTGTCCAATCTACAGTCCGGCGGTTCCGATAGTTCCGGTGAAGAAAATGAGAGAGAGAGGGAGAGATCTAAGTAATCTACAATGGAGGGTAAAATTGTCATTTGTGTTAATATAAACACTTGTGGGAAAGTAGATTACCAAACATCTCCACCCCAATAAGTGCTTAAAAACATAATAAGTGATTTGAAAAATGGGCTATCAAACAAACTTAAGTGGTTGTTAAAATAAGTACTTGTACAAGTATTTAATCATCAAACAAGGCCTAATTATGGCCAATCCTATTTCTGAGACTAATGAAAGAATTCAACACACATTCCATTGAAGGATTAGGGGCATGGCCTCTGTATCGGTAATGGGATGTGCCCAAATCAGTCTTACAACCGTTTCACAACCAATGGGCCAATCCTGGCCATCCCACCATTTTTTTATTAAGTAAA